GTATATTTTAGCACGGATACGTGATATTGTTGTCTATTATGCGCCTTCTTGATTCGAATATTGCTACTAATAATAATAATAAAAAGTTCAATAGTTTCGACAGGAGTGCACGAATAACAGAAAACAATCTATATTCTAGCTATGGCTGATTGTTAATCAGTAGAGTCGGGCTTACCAAAGGCCGCAAATTATTTTTTTCAACAAACTTATCCCATCCTTCGCGTTTTAACTTTCTGACTCCAGCCAGTCCAAATTTTGATTTCTTTGGATCGTCCACTTCTTCTAAGGATTCGCGGCCGTCTAACTGCCGTAATTTATCACTGCATCGCACGAACACAAAGACCAACTGGACAATTGGAGTGGACAAAATTCGATGTTAGAGTGATGCTACTGGGATGTTTTGGGGGCGAGTACGCACCTTTGATCCTGGCCTGCATATCTCCCGATAGTATTCACACCGCCTGTTCGATGTGCATGTTCGTCATCATCAGCAAAAGAAAAAATTCGATTTTTGAAGATGTTCGTTTTAAGGTGATTCGAGGCCGAAAAAGAAAAATTTTGAGACAAACAAGCAAAATAAACGGCTTACTTTGTCCGACAATCACTTTCAGCGACATTATCGATATGTCCTCCTTAGATGACCCTGAAAAGAAAGCAAACATAGTTAAACAATCACAATCAAAAATAGCATAAATATTAAACGTGATGCTGGTGAGCAGTCTGTGTTTCATCCCTTAGCTGTAAACACACACAAATGCACGCACGCATGCGCACAGAGCACAACGTGCAAAAAGAAGTGAGAATCATCAGTACAGCTTCCTAACTGTCACCTAAATAATGAGAATATTCGAGGATTATTAACACTATAGTTAAAAGGAGATATTTCCTGGATTGGATTTGACTATTCCTATCTGATATTTCACGTTTTCCCTCACGAAATGCCTTACTGGAAAAGCGAAAGAGCTTAACCAAAAGGGACATGTAAAAATAACAAAGTTCATCAGGAAATATACAGAGAGTAGTAATACATAATCGATGGGTCGGGATTTAACGCAACCATCATTTCTCGACCGCTCCGTGAAAATCTGCCGTCTCCACGAATGAGTTTTGGTGACACTCCATGCACCCTCCCGTTTAGGTGTTGAAGAAATTTTTGGAAATACAAACAGTGAATATCTCTGGCTAGAAGACTGGTAGTAGGCGGGAGCCTGAAATCACGTCTATGTGTTAACATATGCAGTTTGTTTGGCGTTGCTGGCGCACCAG